GGGAAAGAGCTGAAGTGTCTATAGACGACAGTTACTTCATGTTTCAGTTGTGTATTTAGTTGCAGTTATTAAGGATAAGACAACTTAGTTTTATGTTTTTGTAATTGTCATATGACAGTTAACGTATGTGGTTAGTTATGTATGCCGAATTTTATGTATTATGTTTGGGTATGAGTGAATGTGTAAAGATGTTTGTGCACTTTTGGAATTCGACCCGTTTTCAAACGGGTCTCCGAATCTGAACCCGAAAATCGACTTCTTTTACAATATTTTTGAATGCGAGAAATCATCAAACCCGCCAACTGAGGGAGCGACTTTCTAAGCCGCTAGAGCAAATGGAGGCTTTGAGGTTCGGCGACTCGGGAACGAAACGCGGGGGGAGCGCTCTAAATTTTTTTAGTACATGGCATGTGGTTTTGCAACTACATTTTATTACTTGGAAGTTGTTTTTTAGTTGTGTTCCAAAAAATGTTGCAATACAAAAATGTGTTGAAAAAAATAGTTATTAAAAGTATATATTTTGGCATATTAAAAATATTATAATTTATTTTTCCCTCTTTCTTATAAAGGAAAATAATTTTAACTCATAATATTGTTGTTTCCTTTCTCTAATAATGTTTTCCTTCAAACTAAACACATAAAAAAATAGGTTTTAGGAAAAAAAATAGGTTTCAAGTTTGTAAACTCAATTTATTTGTCCGAATGTTACATTTTTTTTAATGTGTTTGGAGGGAGATGAGTTTTTTATCATTGCATTGATGTTGATTCCTTTGTGAGGATATACAACTATTTTGTGTTGTGCATTAAATTGCTAACTTTTCATAAAGAATGTGAGCTTATTCATAAAGAATTTGATAAGGAAGTTAATTATTGAAAGTTTTTCTCGTCAACGGAATTAATTCTTAAATTAAAATTAATAATTAAAATCAATAATACTAACTAAATCAATAATGTTGTTGTTATTATTATTATTATTATTATTATTATTATTATTATTATTATTATTATTATTATTATTATTATTATTATTATTATTATTATTATTATGTGTGTGATTATTATTATTATTATTGTGTGTGTTCGTCCTATTATGGGGGATGTTAGTTGACTTCAAACAAATAGAAACAACAAATCGAATTAATAGTGGGAAAAAAACTTGAGAACTAATATTTATTTACAAAATATTTCTGTCATCCGAAAGTTTGGAAGTGCCAAGAGTGGTTGGCTCAACTGGTAAGTGGGTATGTGCAAAGAGTGCTCCACCCAGATTCGAACCCCATCCTTAACAAATCAGATATTATCAAAAAAAAAAAAAAAAAAGTTTGGAAGTAAAACTAACATCTCCTCCCTAGACTTCGAAGTCTGTCTATTCCCATTTTCACTTCCACAATGAATTTTTTGTTACGAAAGGATAACATTGTTTTTATACACCACGTTACATTATTCGATAAAGCCCAAGATAATACAATATACTACACACACACCCGCCTATTTTTTTATTATTAGCTTTACAAGTTATTAAATGTCTATTTAAAAAATAACTGAACTAGTCCATAAAATCCTCTTTAAATCGATTTTCATTGTTAATTACGTCCATATTTTACACTATGAATTATTTGGAATTTGTATGGGGTTTAAAAATAGCTCATGCAAAAACTATTTTTAAAATTCGACACACGGGAGATTCAAACCATCATGCTGTGCAAATATAATTTTTCTTCTACCAAAAAATACTGACAACAACGGAAAGAAATAATTAAATTCTCCAATAACGTAATATAATTTATCGAAAATGCAAAATACTAATCATGAATGTTATAAGCTCACATGGCCCTTTAGATTTTGTGGTTATTCATCATTAATTAACAAAGTTCCCCGCCGTCTGCTTCTAATCACCTTTTTAATATAATAATAACAATCCAAAAATTACAGAATTTCGTTTTTTTAAAAAGAGTATTTATTTATATATTATTTATCCAAATTTTTTTAAAATATTAAAATCTAGCGTTTTCGAAGCCGTGCAAGTCGCTGCTCGACGACTTCTTCATCATCGCCACCTTCGCTAGCTTCTCAGCTGCCCTCCACGCCGACGCCGGCGTCAGTGCCTCGCCGTTCTCGTCCGTCATCGCTGCCGGCGTCTCCCTCCGCCGTGGGATCTGATGGTGCTGATACTCCATCAGCTGCTGCCTCCGCCCCTGCACCTCCACGAGCTCCGTCTCCACCGCCCTCACATACTCCTCCATCTCCCCACGCGCCGCCGCAACTGACTGCGAGAGAAGCGCACGCGCCGACGTGAGCAGGTGGTGCGCGCTGGTGAACTCGCCGTGCTCCACGAGCCTCCGCGACTCTGCAACCGCGCGCGTAGCCACGAAGAGGTTCCTCAGCCGTTGGATCCTCGGCGACGACGATCGTACGGCCTGAGGGACTCGGAGACTCCGATCCCGACCGTAAACGACCTCTTGATTCGACGGGTCCTTGTAGAGCCCCCGCAAGGAGAGCGCGGGGGACCCACTCGCCGCCGTCTCCGCCGGGATTCGGAGCTCAACGAGAAGCTCTCGCTCCTCGTCGGCATAGAGGTCGCCGAGACGGACCGATCCGGACCCGGAGCTGACCAATGTGGGCCGTTCGTTGCAGAGATAAACGGCTGAGATTTCGCATGGAGAGGATCCGGATGCGACCCGTATTTGAATCCGGAGGTCCTGAACCACGACGCTGAGTAAACCGCCGACGCATTTCGTAAACGCTTCTTCGGCCGGGTCGTGGCCGTGAACCGGGATTTGAATGTATGCGAACCGGTTGGATGCCACGTGGCAGTATCCAGATCGTTGGTTGTTGGGATGGGCTCTAGTGGAATCCTGACCGTTGGTTGATGAGAAGTGTACGATGCTCGCGATTGGGTTTCTCTCTCTCCGGTCCTCGAGCACTCTCGTCGCTTTCTTCAACGCGTCGCCGGCGTTGGAGCCATGGCCGCCACCCGCGCCGGAGAGGAGCGTATCGATCACGCGCCTCGCGGCGCGTTTGCCTTGCTCTGTCATCCTCTTCAGTGGGAGAAGCCTCTTGACAGCGATGATGGAGAGCCGATCGGCGGAGCCAAGCGATGATATCACCAGCCTCATCGCTCGTTTCACCATTTGGAGCTTCGCAGCATCGATATTAACACCGACGTCGAGCACCGCCACGAGATCTACCTGCGCACGGTGAGACGGATCGAGAAGCGCCGCGGCATTGCCACCGCCGCGTCTCGCCGTTGAAGGCGGTGCTTTCACCTGCAGAGCGACCGCGTGGGTCTCGTAGCCACAACCAACGGAGACGACGGCGGATTCCGGCAACAGCCTCACCTGTACGTTCCCAAAATCACGGCCGTTGATCGGAGCCTCGTCGAACTTGACGGCGGACGAAGATGGTTTGGGATCCACCACGAATCCCTTGAACTCAGCGACATCACTGTCTTCCTCTCCGGCGTTCTCATCGGCCTCCGGTATGGGAACGAACCGAGGCGAGATCAACGGCTCGTCATCGTCGTAGAATCTAGAAACCGACAGCTTCGATCTTGGAGAGAAACCGTCAACGCGCTTCTCTTGAATCTCCGTCCTCTTCGTCGAGAGGGTCTTCACGGAGACGGCGTCGTTCGCGGGAGGAAGATCAGTGGCATTTTCGCAATTCTGATGGGCAGCGAGGAGAGAAGCGTCTTTCCAAACAGCGTTACAGACTGGGCAAACAAGCTTGCCGTTCTTACGAACATAGTCGGAGATGCAAGGAAAATGAAACGCGTGCGAACACTCCGCCGTGTAAATCGCCGTACCTTGCCCTGTCTTCACACTGTTCAAGCAAATCCCGCAACTACTCTGCAAAAATTCACAAATCCACAATCAAACCAACAATTCTATTTCACTGGGCAGTTTCAATTTCAGCTTTTTCGATCTGTTCTTACTCTGAATTTGAAGCTGTTCCGGAACAGAGAGAGCTTCAATGGCGAACGAGGCGACGACGGGTTCGAGCTCTTCGCCGCCGATCTGGGTGTGGTGGTTTTGCAGTGAAGCAGCGGCTCTAGGTTTTCCTCCGCCGCCAGAGCCTCACCGTCAGCCGTCCGACATCGGAGGCTAGGGCTTGAAACCGGACGCGGCGTCGAGGGGTTACTTCCCCCGGAGAGGAAGGCGAGTTTGACGCAGCTCCTAGGGCTAGGACTCGGGCTGACAGAGTAGCCGCCGTGTCGGGTGTCGGGTTCCGGCTGCGCTGCGGCGTCGCTGTTTCTCGGTGCGGTGGTGCAGAAGGCCCGTCTCCAACCAGTACCCATTTTTGCGTAGTGAGTGTTGGTTACGTTTTCGCCGGAAAACCAGACGACGACGAAGAAGGAGAAAGAGATTACGCAGAGAAGAAGACAACGAAAAGGTTGGAAGTTTCAGATTCGTTCTCTCTCGAGGCTCCATTATATAACCATAAAATAATGCTACTGTAGCTGTATTCTGCAATTGATTATGATTCTACATTAAATAATGTAGTTGTTCAATATTATAAGGTCCAAGTTCTAAATTTCTCTTTCGATTAAGCAATAGGAATATGGATAAAGGACGCTCCTAATTTTTTTTCTCTAAAACACACCTTGTAATGTTTTAAATAAATTTAGATTTTTAGTATATATTTAAAAAAAAACATACATTATTCACTATCAATACACAAATTATTATGAAGACTTTTTTGTTGGTGAATTGTTATGACGACTTCTATAGCCGATACTAAATTAGTCTCAATTCATTTTGTTATTAATATGGATAGGATGCTTATTCAATTTTATAAAAAAAAATGAACCTTTTATAGTTCTAACATTTCGAACTTGTTAATTTGTTTCGTTATATATTAGTTTCACTCATGACTTTGTTTGAGATTTTTTCCAAGAAATTTGCTTGTGCAAAAAAAAAGGTCTTTCCACATTGTCGTGTTTTTTCTTCATTTTTTATATACATGTATTTATTTTTTAAATAAATCTATTTATTCTAAACCACAAAATATATTTTAAGAAGATTGAAAAATAGTTGTTCAATAAAAAAATTAATATTAAATACGTTTATTTTATGTATTTTCTGAATGTATTATATTTTCGAAAATATCATAATTCTCAAATAAAAATAAAAGTAGTTACGAGTAATGAAACAATGAAGTTTAATACAAATACAATCTATAACAGATAAAACAATGAAATTTAAAAAAAAAATGCTTTATTTATCAGTGAGAAACAGTTGTAACGGCGACATGAAAATAGTCAACTGTTACGGCACGAAACATGTATGGAAGACAACGGCGCCATAGCAACGGCGTTAAGTAAGCTGACGTCATGTGTCAGCTATAGGGAATTTCACTTGCCTGTGTCAAGTGTCAACTCTCTCAACTGAAAGCATTTCATCCCCCGTATATATATATATATATTCAGTATAGAAAGTTATATATAAAATAAAGCACAAATTATATATACATATATATATATATATATGCTACAAGTTATTATGCATTCTGATTTATTTTCATCCCAATCATAAAAAAAAATGGAAAAAAAAAGTAAATATTGTTTTACTGCTATCAGGCTTAGGGGCAGTATGATTTATTACCTTGGAGTCTACTCTGTAAGTCCTACACGTTTGTTTTGTCTTTAACTATCTTACATAAATGCATTTATATTTTAGAACACGACAATGAAAATACATTTCACGATATAATATATGATTAATTAATTGGATATCGTTTCATCGTTTGTGGAAAAGCGTATTATAATTGAAATTTCTTGACGTGAAAACGTATATTATATATGTAAATAATAAGTAAAAACGATGGCTCTTAAAAGTTATATATATATATATTGACAAACCAAAACAGAAATTATACGAATATAATATTTGAACATAATATTATTTTTATAGACTTTTGTAGACTAGCAAACGATTTTTTCGTGGCTGATATATTCAGCATGTCTATATATTGAACAAAAAAAACATATCTATATACATATCATACTGACTAACATAAAACTCTGACACTAAAAAATAAAAATAAATTGTTATATAATGAATATCTATTGAAAGTTTTCATAAGACATTGTCGTCGACTCGTCGATATTTGCATGAACGACGGTAATTAAAGAAAATAGAGAATTTACAAGCTTTTATATAAATCACTTAATGAAACTTGAAAAATATTTGTTATACAGTAAATACCACATGAAGAGTCAGCAGTAAAATCATTTACCGTAGAATTTGAGATCGCAGATTCGAATTCTCTCTACATTAAAATATAGGGTAATGTGATCTAATATATTCCTTTCCTCAATACTCCACTAGATGGAGATTCGAATTGGGTTGGTTCTTTAGTAAATACCACACGAAAGATGAAAAATCATGTATATAAAAAGAATTCTATATACAGACATAAATTATGTATTCTAAATCTGATATAAAATAAGAATAATTAAATACAATACTAAAATATATATTCAAAACGTTTTCTAACCAGAACTTGCATAAATATTTATCATTTTAAAAGTTGGGTAATATGAAAATTAGTCAAATGTGAAATAGATCTTATTTGTGCGATAAGCAAAGTGTATCTCTAAAATTATATTAAAAAGATGTATACATTAATACATATTTGCTTATTATAGATATGAAGATATATCTATATAACAGGAGAAAAAAACGCAGACGCTTGGGAACGCGTGATACGATAACACTGGATAACTCACAGAGAAGTGGGTCCCGCAACTCCTTATGTCACAATCTCGTTTGAAGTGGAGCCCACCCGTTCACAGTAATTTAGCTTATATGCTATTTTTTTTTGCCTCTGGTACAACGGTGTATAAAAGAAAAGGTGTGTAAAAGTCTAAACATTTGATTATATTTTAATATAAAATTTTGAATATTTAACATATTTGTTAAAAATTTGTATAATTTTAATATATTTGTTAAAAAATTGTAAAATTTGGCCCCATTTTAATGTGGAATATAACAAATTTCTGTGTCGTTGGGTTGGTAGTTAAGATGCGACCCTTAATAATATACAATCACATGCCCCTAAACCATATATTATACCTCTTGATTTCATAACCGACCCTTTATATTTTATTATTTAATTTTTCTGGATATGACTACCACTGCCCTTTTTATCATTGTATAATAATCGCATTTGTTCCCTAACCCAATATGCTTTTATCGTGACCTATTCAACGCATGATATTTTAGATTAGCAACCAAATACAATTACATAGTTTTTTCTTTTGAGAATGCCATGTACCAAGTCCAAACTAATTCTGAGGTTGAAAATAATTCATATCATTAGAATTTGCGTTCTCCTCCCCAATTTAAAATTTAAACTCGGAAAAGAATATAATTACATAATTAGAGACATGGAGAGGGGAATCCGAAATTTTACATCTAATTTTGAGTATTAGTCTACTGAATATGTCTTAGATAGTCAATATATATCATATTTTAATTGCCCTATGCAATTTGACCGAAAAATTCGAAATGATTGAAATCGATATCAATGACACCGAATATCTCATATATGTAGATGCCTTACACGGATCATATTTATGTGAAACTTTTTTATAAAAAAAAAACACGTTAGCTAAATTTATCTTAAAATGATAATTTTTTCTTGCATATTGCATGGAATTTTTATTATATATATACATGCAAAAAAAAAAGTGACCCAATTATGAGGGAAAAGGGCGAAATGAAAGGTGACGGAAATAGAAAAGTGATTTTATCAAACATAACACGATAAGAATATACATTTGAGGACCGACGTTGATCCTACATGATTATATTAGCCGTTGACTATTGGCACATATTACGTGAAGTGTTTTGAATTTGTATCTATATTTAGCAACACTCGTTTATGATACATGCATATAGTACAGTTTTGGGACTACACAATTTTCTAAATTAGGTTATAGGGACGACCGGAACAGGTATTGAAAAGTTTATAAAACCAAAAGGAGAGAGACAAAAGACGAATTCAATCGATTTTTTTTTTTTTTTTTGTAACGGTGGGAACCTATCTCACATCCCGTTATACCGAACATCGTTCGGCCCCGCAGGTCGGACATCATCTCGAATAGTAAATCTTCAATCTCTATACAGTAACCGACAAACCACACAGAATAGATGAATCAGTAGAAACTGACTGATTCAAGGGAAACCTAAGACTTTAGAAATAATCGAATCTACAAACCCAATCGAATTTTTTTTTATTATAATTTAACATAGTCTGAATATATATTCTAAATTTGCATTGATAATATTCTTCTTTTCAATATTTGCTTTGTTATCGTTGTGAATCGTAAAATAGCACTTGAAAACATAAGTAAAGTGTCGAGAATTAAATAACAAGTTTTTTTATTTACTTGTAGTAAAATTCTTTACGCATCACATACGTGGAAAACAAAACAACGCGTTAAATAATCATAATTATAAGGGTGGACGGACATTGGAAAACCCTAATCCAAAAGAATGTCTTTCTAAATTTTCAAAGACTCGTATATGGAAAACCTCTATCCCATGGGGCCCGAACCATACTTCAATTCAACACATCGGTTTAAAGAAATTTCTATGTTTATCCATTTTAGATTTACTACTATTATTATTATTATCTTATTTAAAAAACGGTCCAAAAGTTTGTCCTTAAATAACCTTTAATTTAGACCGACCGAGATTTTCTATGAACCCATAGAAAAGAGGAATCATCGGTCTACACTGTTAGTGCTCTTTCACCTAACAAAAACCAATGTAATGCTATCTTTTTTTTTTGTTATGAGGAAATTATTTTGTTTCTTGCGAAATAAACTCATCTCTTTTTCTTAATCATATGAAAATGGTTTTTAAGTTTAAAGATTTTTTTTATTCTATATTCCGAGTACGACGGATTAATTGTAACTATACACATGCATCACATTTTTATGAAAAAAGAGTGATAGAATTTATTATGTAATTTATGTGTGTGTGTGTATATATACCGTAATTTATATTTTTCCCAAATCTATATCATGATTTATTTACCCCAAATAATAATTTCTGATAACTCCATTTCAAATCACCGTTAGTATTAACTCATAATTTCGCATATTGTTTTGCTTAATCCAAGATGTAATTCTAGTTAACTTTGCATGCTTACACATCAACGTTGATTATCATGTGAAAATCTACTTTTGAATTAATTATTACGTGCAAATTTCAACGCAAGTTTTGATTTTCTACCAAACTAAAGCGTTTTTGGATCAATTTGTTTACGTATCTCTGATTAATAATAATATCAATTTACCTAATTAAACTTTTTAAATTATATTAATCGCGAATAAGTCTTAGTCTAAGTGTTAGATTAGGGTGTTGTTTTGACGAGAGGCTAAAGTTGAATTAAAAGAATCATAATTCAATGATTAAAAGATGAATCAACGTTAATTAAGAGATAATGATGGTGGTTAAAGGTCAATTCCAAACAGGCACGCCCAAAGACTAATTAGCTCGTAAAAATAATTAATTAATTAATTAACAAAGAAAATAATGTGGAGCATGTCATGTGGAAGTGTCTTTGTTTGTTTATTTAATCTTTTTTTTTTTTATCATAAACATGATATATCACAAAATTCTCTAACCTAATATTCATATTTTCCGAGAATACATATATATTTGAATATTTGATTTCATATTTTACATATTTATAATGGTGATAATTGCTCCTACATTAGAAATATTCATTATATTTTTTATTTATAAATAATTTTGGAGATTATTATTGCAAGAAAAAAGATGATAATTGATATCTAGTGGAGATTACTTAAGATCTTATTTTCATATAAAATTTATTTACTCCAATTTTTTTAGTTTTGTAATTTTTCATTATATCTAACTAATTATATTAGTTGAATTCGGATCATAAAAATATGATTTTTTTAATTTTAATTAATCAAATATAAACTAAATAAAACAATCTAAAAATTAAATAAAATATTTTTTTTGGAAAATCAATAATTTTTAATAAACTAAAAAATCGAAATAAATCGAATTAGAAACGAAAGAAACCCATTGATATAAAATCATGTAAATATAGTTTTTAAAAACTGAAAAACCTTAATATAAAAATAATCAAACCCAAATCCATTTTTTTGTTGTTGAATGCTGTCTTATCCTCTTTGGTAACTGTTTTAAGATTGTTATTTCGTAGAAGATAATGAATGACCTCGTATATGTTTCTATTTGAGGATATAAAATTTGGAATTTTGTAGTGGCAATCTTCGATTTGAAAGACAGGTTTGTTTATAAACATTTAAAAACTCTGATATTTTTATAATAAAAATATGTATAAGTGCTCTTTACCATCCTGTTATGTCATGAGAAGATGGGCAAATCTAAATCTGGTTATTTTAAAAGTCAAAATTTATATATTATTTTTTGGGGACTATTCATTGCAAAAGATATCATCTTAGGATTCGGAGAAGATATGATTTGACACGGGCAAAAGATGTGCCAAGATCTCGACTTCGTATATACATGAATAAATAAATAAAATAAATGCGTAATAAAAGCCGTTTCAATTTTTTTTTTAATGAAAAATATATTTTTAATCTGTATAAAAATGACCTTTTTTTTTGGGTAGTATTGAATAATCCAATGATCCGGTCAAGTTGATTTATGGGTATTTAATGAAATATGTTTTTTTTTATAATCCAGAAGTTCACCGGATCTTTTGGTCCGACTATATCTTTCAGAAAACCGGGGGAGTCCGAGATGAATGCCTCTCCCCACACTTAAATTTGAACTCAAGATGAGAGCATGCTTTGTTCAATGAAGTATGTTATGTACTCATTTATGTGGACTTATGAAATTTTACCGTAGGAACAACTTAGTGCATAAACATATTGGAGATATAGGTACAAGATCCGAGTATGCAAAATAATTGGGATAATATAAATTTGATTTAAAAAATATTTGAATATAAATATCTTTAAACCAAAATAAAGAAAACCAAAGTTGGTTTTTCCAATGTAAAAAAAAACATCACAATGTAAAAAAATAATTTATAATTCAAATATCATAATGTAATTAAAATCGATAAAATCGGGCAAATACAGATCATAAGAAACATGTATCTCGATGATTTCATTTTATATTAATATTTCATTTTTTAAAAAATTATTTAACTTCCATGTCTATTAATGTTGTTTTTATCGAAAAGGTTTTAGTAAATTATTTTAATGATGAAACGACAACGTTTCAGTACTCTCCAAAGATTGCTAATCCATTTTCGTCCTTCCGTCGTCTCTCTCGTCAAGAGGGGGTGTTTTACCGTCGTCTCTCCGTAGCCGAGGAGAGCTCTCTTTCAAGCTTCGTCCATGGCTCCGACGAAGAAGAAGTCGAAGAAGACCAAAAAGATCAGGAAGAAATCGAAGAAAAACAACAGAGTTAGTGTAGTTCCTTTGGATCCGGAGGCTATCGACTGCGAATGGTGGGACACTTTCTGGTTCCGCAATTCTTCTCCCTCAGGTTCATTCTCTTACGGTTTTCGCTTTCTCCCGAGTGAAATCGCTCTAATTTCTGCGAGTTTCGTTGAGCGGTGTTCGTATTTTGGTTGATTTTGCTCCGAAGATGGACAGAGAGTGCATAAATTCGATTGGTGTAAGAACATAGTTTCGGTTATGTAGTGTATTCATGAACTCTTGGACGATTCTTTGCAGAGATTCTAGTTCGTGGTTTAGGGCTTTTGGTTGTCAATGTTCAAAATCATAGAATGTGAATTGAAATCACAGGCTTTGAAACCGAAATCAACCTGCAGGAGTTTCGATTCCCTCAGATGAAGATGATGCATTCAAGTACTTTTTTAGGGTTTCCAAGACTACGTTTAGTTACATCTGCTCCTTGGTGAGGGAGGATCTTATCTCAAGACCGCCTTCTGGTCTCATCAACATCGAAGGAAGGCTTCTTAGTGTTGAAAAACAAGTCGCCATTGCTCTAAGAAGATTAGCTTCTGGGGAATCTCAAGTCTCAGTCGGTGCAGCCTTTGGTGTTGGCCAATCCACAGTTTCTCAGGTTGCTAAATTCGATACCGATTCTTGGATTCCGATTTGATGAAAATCACGAGGTTATTCATGAATGCCCTGCAGGTTACATGGAGATTCATCGAGGCGCTTGAAGAACGAGCCAAACATCATCTTAGATGGCCGGATTCAGACAGAACCGAGGAGATCAAGTCGAAGTTTGAGGAAATGTATGGTCTGCCCAATTGTTGCGGCGCCATCGATTCTACGCACATTATCATGACTCTACCGGCTGTGCAAGCTTCGGATGACTGGTGCGACCCGGAGAAGAACTACAGTATGTTCTTGCAGGGAGTCTTTGACCACGAGATGAGATTCCTCAACATGGTAACTGGTTGGCCCGGAGGAATGAGCTTTACCCGGCTGCTAAAATTTTCGGGCTTCTTCAAACTTTGCGAGACGGGACAAGTACTGAACGGAAACGGGAAAACTCTGTCCGAAACAGCGGAGGTAAGAGAGTACGTGGTCGGGGGTTTCGGGTACCCGCTTCTTCCGTGGCTAATAACCCCTCACGACAGCGAGAATCTATCCGATTCGATGCTGAAATTCAACGAGAGGCACGAGAAGGCGAGGGAAATCGGGTCAAGGGCATTCGGGCAGCTGAAAGGGAGCTGGAGGATACTGAGCAAGGTAATGTGGAGACCGGACAGGAGGAAACTTCCGAGCATCATTCTGGTATGTTGTCTGTTGCATAACATCGTCATCGATTGCGGGGATTACTTGCGGGAGGACGTGGCTTTGTCGGGTCATCACGACGAGGGTTATGCCGAGCAGTGGTGCAACCAGATTGATCCGATGGGACGAGCCACTAGAGAGAATCTGACTGAGTATTTGCAGCTTTGTCAAGGGTGAATATAAGCTTTTTGCTTCAATGGATAAAGCCATAAAGGGGAAGAAGCACCCTTTCTATGCAAAAAAACTTTTAAAAAAAAGAATTCAGGTTTTTTAGTTTTCTTCTCTATTTTTTATTTGAAGCGGTCTTTATCAATTACTTACTGACCTATACAACTAAATTGCCAAATACACCATACTAATTATTATATTTTATGTATAAAATATAATATAATTCTGAAATGAACGAGTACGAGTGAAATTTAACAATCGATATAGAAAGTTATATTTATCCTTCAAATGTGAAAACGATAATTTTATTTAATTATATATTTACACAATAGTAGTAGAGATCCTCAATGGGACAATCAAAGTACGGAAAGAATCACATGTGAAGCCTCTTCTTGGCGTTCTCAGCCTCATCCGTAGCTTCCACTTGCATCTTTGTCTCCGTTAGATTTGCCTCCGTTGCCTCTCTCTCGTTCTTCGCCTTCATTTTCTTTACCTTCAATATATTTATTTTTTTTAAAAAAGTAATTACATACGCAGTTTCCCAATATTTTTCAGGTAAATTATAAGGAAAAATTCCCCAATAAAAAACCACCTTATATTTATTTAGAAATTTAATTTTCAGGATAAAATAAATACTACTGTATTTCATCTGTAACTAGTATCCAATTAAACCTTGATTTGTACGAAAGATTATAGCTAAGATTTAGATGAATCGAAACGGCGTCGT